GGCCGCCTCGATGTGTATCTATCTGTTGACCTGCTCCTCTCGAGCACGTTCCATTGGCCGGACAACGGGATAATTACCAGTTTCCGTGAACAGTTACCAAGCTGCCTGAGTTAAACTGAAGTTAGATCGCTTTCGAGTTCCACTCTCGAAAAGCAGTGCGATAGGAATCAGCACGTACATTCTAACTAACCCAGCGCTGTGCTTTCAGAAGACTCCAATGTAGGCGTTTTCCCTTCCGTGGCCAAGGCCGACGCCAGGTGGTGATTTCACGCTACGCCCACCTCTAGTGACGGTGGTTTACTGCACGTTAAAGTGATTCTCATGACCATGTGTCAACACCTTCCCTATTTCATCTCTGAAACACTCCAATGACCTCGAGATACGGACCATGTGTGGTGATTATTATAATTTGCAGGGTCCATTGACATTTTATTATATAATTTAACTAGTGCACTGACATTCGGCCGGACATCAGTAATATGATAAAGGGCAAAAGTATCTTATGTAGGCCCACTCATATACCCCTAGTCCCAGCACTTTTTCCTGCAAAAACGGTAGTTATAGAAATTTGGTGGGTGGGGAAATAGGATAGAAAGAGAAGAAAATTTTTGGAAGTAAGTGTAGTGTTAAAAATTTTGGTCGACATTGCTTCCTACGGCCGCTGGGAGTAAGTTTTTCGCATGTAACTTGAAGGTATGCGCGGCGGTTCGCGCAGCGAACTATACTAATCTAACTCCAGAATGGTAAGTTGAAGATCAGATAAGTTGAAGTAGACTACCTGCTAACCACCATTTCAATTTTTTTGGGAAATTCAAGAAACCTGCAATTTGATAATCTGGTTTTTCCGCAATAAGTTTAACAATAGTACAGAGTAGGAAAATCTACAGTTATATATCAACAACACGCCTAAGTACAGTAAAATAATTTTAAAAAATGCATTTAGCATTTATTAAAGTATTTTCCACTGCGTGTCTTAAGTCCCCACCCATTTAACCCTATAACCACCATTTTCCTAGGAAAAAGTGCAGGCAGTACCGATTAATGAGTGGGCCTACATAAGATTCTCTTGACAGATAAAGTGCTATAGGGAACAATAAGACAAAATTAACCAAATCTTCTGGCATAAATGCAGGACTAAAACACAGCTAATATGTGTCATTCTAAAAAGCGCGCATTTGGAACAAACACGTTGTACAAATGAATAGCAAGGAATACACAGGGTGTTAGGGAACATGCGTCTCGAAATACTCCAAATATGCTATTAGAGGCGGCCGCCGTAGTTTTGTATTTTGCCAAGGCCCATGAATAT